CGGGACCAGGCCCGCATGGGCTGCCGCAGCCGGGCCATCACCCAGGGCCCACGGGTGATGGTGATGCGGGGGCACAGCCACCCGCCCGACCTGGGCGGCCTGGAGGCCCTGCGGCAGCGGGAGCAGTTCCCCAGCCTGGCCCAGCGGGAAGGCCCAGGTATAAGAAGGGAAGCAGCTCTGGGGCCCTGTCTCCCTGCGCACAGCCTGAGACCGCGTGCTGGGGCGTCCCCTCTGAGGCCACGTCCAGTAGGTCTCTCTGCCCACCTGGGCTGTGAGCCCCTGAGGGCAGGGGCCGCGGCCGCGACTCTCTACCTGTGGTGCTGGTCGAAGGCTGGGCTTGGCGGTCAGTGGGAGGGACTGCTCAGGCCACCAGAGAGGGGGGTGGGGCACCCATTTACGGGAACGCACCAGGCCTTGGGAGGCCTCTGTTGCCCCTTCTTCCTGGGTTGCTTGTCTGTTTCCTGCCCCTCCCTGCCCCGGCCCACCCCCGGCCCACCCTTCTGCTCCCGCCTGGTCCACACGGCCACCCGGCGCAGCATTGCCTGACACTCAGTTCAGGTTCTTAGAGCTCTCGAGAGAGCCGTGGGTTGGTTGCCCACTGGCCGAGGGTCGGGAGACAGGAAGCCGGGAGGCCTGGCCAGGCGGGGGCCACACAGAAGACCCAGCCCAGGCTCTGTCCTGGGGACTGCCATCAAGTGCAGAGTCGGGAGACTTGGAGGTGGACCCACCAGAGTCCATGGGAGAGCGTCAGGGCTGGCCCCAGGCTGGTGGGCTTGAGCATCTGTCCCCAGGGCGCAGGCAGGAACCGCAGGGGTTGCTGCTGGGCGTGGGGGTGGGGAGGTGCATTTCCCAGTGGATGATGGAGACAGAGCCCCCTCCCTGGGACCCGGCCCATCCTCTGCCCCCTGCCTGGATCCCACAGCTCCGCTAACTGTCGCTTTCTCCCTCAGGAGCCCTCCGGCCTCTGGAGTTCCTCAGGACCTCCCTCGGGGGCCGCTTCCTGGTGCATGAGTCCTTCCTCTACAGGAAGGAGAAGGCGGCTGGGGACAAGGTGTACTGGATGTGCCGGGACCAGGCCCGGCTGGGCTGCCGCAGCCGGGCCATCACCCAGGGCCCACGGGTGACGGTGATGCGGGGGCACTGCCACCCGCCTGACCTGGGCGGCCTGGAGGCCCTGCGGCAGCGGGAGCGGCTCCCTGGCCTGGCCCAGCAGGAAGGCCCAGGTACAGACGGGGAGTGAGGAGAGGGCTGAGGGCGTGTGAAAGGGCTGGGGATATCTTGGGAGTCCCTGGGTAGCTACAAACCGAAAAATTGGCAGTTCAAATTCACCCAGAGAGGTGCCTCAGAAGAAGGGCCTGGTGATTGACTTCCGAAAGGTCACAGTCATGAAAACCCTGTGGAGTACAGTACTACTTTGAAACACATGGGTTACCATAAGTTGGAATTGACTCGGTGGTGGTTGAGAGTGTGTGTGTGTGTGTGTGTGCATGTGTGTGCGTGTATCTTGGTCTCTGCTACCTAGTCCAGGGGACAAAGGCCTTAGTGGTCTGTTACTCTCTGAGAAGCTTGGTGTTCTGGCCCAACCCTCTTTCTAGAATCTTCCACCTCTCCTCTTTACTGGCTCCTTCTCCTTAACCTGAAAACACATCTAAATAGGTCCCATCCTTAAAAGCAACCCCTCTTCTAGCTTTCATTTTTCATCTTTCTTTACTTCCAAGAGCTCTTAATTTTTCACAGATCATAGTCCCCTTTGAAAATCTAATGAAAAATACAGACTACTAATGTATTAATGAGAGTACTGACGTTTGAGTGTGTATGTATGTGCACACACAAGCAAACTTTTTAAATAATGAATTTTACTGAATTGAAAATGGATTTCCTTCACATAAACAGAAGGTAAAACCAGTCTTTATAAAGACTAGGTGCCTCACAGTCATGCATGTGAATATTAAGGGCCACATCATGAAAAACACAGAAATGAATCCAAATTGTATAAAAGAAACTTGATTTCCACTAAAAAAAAAAAAGAAGATTTCTGTGAGAAAGTCACTGTTTGGCTTGAGCAAGAAGTGGAAGTTGTAGGTTGCCATTGGCATGATAATGACTGTCATCTTTGATATCCAGTGATTCTCCATCTTTCGATGACAGGCCTGAAGACTGACTCTTTTGAGTCTCACGTAGCTTATTTAATCAGGCACAGGTGGTTTGGCGGCTTTAGAAAACCAGAATTCCCAGTGACTGTGCAAATCAGAGTCATTTCGCCTGTTTTTCTCCATCCTCGAGAACTTGAGGTCCTCATTGACAAGGTGTGTGTCATTAGTTCTGTCAGCTTCAACAAGAAAAGAATTATTAATCCATGTTTTCAATTTTTTTCTCAGAAAAGATAAAACTTCTACCAAAAGTGCAACTGTGCTTCAAGACTTGTTCTCCAGAAAGCCAGCAGATTTATGGGTAACTGTATTAGTTATTTAATGTTGCATCACAAGTTATCCCAAAACTTACTAGCTTAACACAACAAGTCTTACTATCTCTCACAGTTTCTGTGGGTCAAGAATTTAGGAGTGGTTGGACTGGGTGGTTCTGACTTAGGGTCTTTCATGAGGTTGAAGAAAAGATGTCAGCTGGGGCTGCAGTCATCCGAAGGCTTAACTGGGGCTGGGGGATCCACTCTAAAATGGCTCACTTACTCACATGACTATTGGTTGGAGGCCTCAATTGCTTACTATATGGTCCTCTCCTTAGATCTACTTGAGTGTCCTCAAGACATGGCTGCTAGCTTCCCCCACAGTGAGTGGTCCAAGAGAGAGTACACAGCAAGAAGGAAGTTGCCAACACATTCTTCTCAGACACACATGGAACATTCTTCAGGATTGACTGTGTGCTAGGCCATAAAACAAGCCTCCATAAATATAAAAGAATCAAAATCATACAAAGTATGTTCTCTGACCACAATGGAATAAAATTAGGAATCGATAACAGAAAGAAATTTGGGAGATTCACAGATGTGTAGGAATTAAATGCCACACTACTAAATAACCAATGGGTCAAAGAGGAAATCACAAGGGGAATTAGAGAATACTTTGAAATGAATAAAAATGAAGGCATGACATACCACAATTCATGGGATGCAGCTAAAGCAGTGCTTTGAGGGAAATCGATAGCCGTAAACATCTATATTAAAAGAGAAAATCTCAAGTCAACAACAATGTATGTGTGCGTGTATAAAAATGCTCTAGTTCATGGTTATGTCTAGGGAAGAACATTACAAGGATCGTTAACTGTCTATATTGCCTATTTCTGTCATGCTTGAATTTTCATAACGCACACGTGTTTCTTTGTGATCAGGAAAATCACAAGTGTGAAAGTGGACAGCGAGTCGCAGTGACAACAAACCTCCTTCCCCACCAGAGCAGAGGCGCCGTGCGGATTCCAGGTGTCAAGGACATTTCATGTCCACACAGGAACCAGCATCTTCCATCCAGTTAGATTTTGCTCGACAAACGCTTCTTTCCACTCTCCCAAAGGTGCCGAGAGCCTTCACATTCCTTCCAGAGGTCGCCCAGCAGGAATGCTTCCCTGCTGTCCTCAGGCCCCAAGAACCATGCTCGGGGTTGGCAACCTGCAGAGGCCTGTGACACGGGCAAGAGTTGTGGCTGCTGCTCCGGCCTGACAGTCAAAAGGTTTGACTGAGACACTGCCACCCAGGCCCAACAGCTCCCGTTTTCAGGGTGCAGGACTCTGCCACCCAGGCCTTTTCCACTGAGCCCTGCTCTGGCTCCATAAAGTGAGACAGTCGCTGTGGGCACATGTGCTGGAGTCCCTGCCTGTCACTCTGAGCTACGCTCTGTGGACAGGTGTCTCCAGGATGATGCCAGGTGGGCCTCTGTGGCCTTTGGCTGCCTGCTGCCGGGTGTGGCCACAGCCCCTCCCACCTCGCAGTGAGCAAGACCAGATGCTTCTCACGTGCCCTGTCATACTTTCTTTGCTTGGCCGGCCCCCAACTTAAACCCAACATCCATCGGCCCATGGCAGGCGCATCTCGTGTGGCTCCTGAAGTGGGAGCCCAGCCCGGGGTCCGCGGGAAACCGCATGGCGTGGACACCCCAACTGTAGCCAGCAGCTCCCCAGCTGGTTGCCCACGTTCGTCCGAAGCGTGAGGAGAGGCAGGTCCGAAGGCACCAGGAACGCGTCCTGGTCTCCTGTAGGTGGCTCTGCAGAGGGATAGGCTGGTGTCCCGAGAACTCTGGGGGCTCCTGCTCGCTATCAAGGCCACGTCCTCCATCTTGAGTCTCCTTGCTCCCTGCCCATCCTTTGATTGTGGGAGCACACGGCTGCAGGGCCCTTTTCCCTGGAGACCCAGCCTGCGTCCAGCTGTGAGCTTCACCGCTCGCGACCCGTGCTGTTGCTCTGCTTACACCTTTCCCCCAATAAACCCTGTTGTATTAAATCTCACCGTCGCTAGCTGCTGTGTGTCCACCCCTCTGTGCGACATCAGGTGGCTGTGCAGAGCCACCCAGGTCTCCTGCTCCCCGCCCCCCACAATAAGCTGGAAGAGGCAGAGTCGCTCTGACGGAAAGTGAAACCCTTCCCAGGCCTCATTCCGAGAGGGGGAGGTGGAGAAGAGCGTCCATGAGGGGTGCACCCCAAAGGGAGCGTTCACCCCACTAGTAAGATGAGAAAACCGAAGGAAGAAAGCTAAGAGTGGCGGAGCAGTGGGTGGAACCCAGGCGTCCCGACTTAGACCGCAGGGACCCGAGGCCCAACCTCAACTTGAACCCCAGCTGTCCTGGCAGAAGAGAAGGCCCAAAACCACACTCAGCACCATCTACCCGGCCCTCAGGGCTGTAGCGACAAGAGCTGAGTCTGTCCCTTCCCCTTCCCGGGGTGGGGGTGTCGGTTGGGCCAAAGTGGCTTAGCCCCTCCTCTCACAGAAGGCCCCCCACCTTCTCACCATCTCCAGAATCCGGCTGCACCCCGGGAAGAGGGAGAACCGAGGCGGACCCAGACCCTAGGTTACTCCTTCGCCTTCCTGCCCCCAGCCTCCGCTCCTCTCTACCGCCCCCACGTGGCCGGTCTGCGCCTGCGACTCCGCTCGCCCTGGAAGGGTGACCAGCCAACGCATCTGCTGGAGTCGGGTGGGGGTGGGGGTGTCTCAGACCTGGGGGAAGGGATCCCAGGAGGAGGCCGTTCTAGTGACCCTGGGCTGACCCCTGCCCTCTCTGGCCACAGTATCCCGGTCTGTGAAATGAGCTGCTGGAGTGATCCTGCTCTGGGCACTGCGGCAGGGACATGGGAGTGGTGGCCGGCGGGACCCCCAGGCGCGGATGAGGGGGGAGCTAGTGACTCTATGTACCTAGAATTCCCCACGCAGTCAGGGACCCCCAAGCAGGGGTGGGGTGGGAGTGTGTGTCAGCGCCCAGAGCTCGGATCATACAAACCCGAGGCTGAATCTCGGCTCCGACACTGGTAGTTGGGTGACTTCAGCAAGTCACGTTGTACAGTCTGAGCCGCAAGCTGCCCGTCTGCAGATGGGGAAATGACCACGTCCGCCTGCAAGGTGTTGGAGGGGTAAACACACAGATGCTTGTAAAGCCTGAGCGTGGGAACATCGGAGAAGTGGGGGCACAGGGTCGAGGCCTTCCTTATTCTCGTGGAGGTTCCGTGAGAGATTTGGGACTGGAGCTTGTGGTAGGAACACCCCCAGGTCGCGGTGCCCCGAGCCAAGAGACTGAGCACCTGGCCCCCTCCTCCCCTCCCCCACCACCCCCCCTTTGCAGGCCAGGGCATTGAGGCTGGGCGACCCGGTTGGCGGAGGCAGAGCCACGGACCAGCCAGTTGATTCTCTCTCGTCCAGCCAAGGAGCGGACTGGTTCCCCACACCTCCCCACTGACTCCCTCTCCACACGTGGAGTCCTGGTGCCCAGTCTCCCACCTCGGCAATCTCTCAGCTGGGCTGTGGTACCTAGCGCTGACGGAAGCTGGGGACTAGCCAGCCACGGAGCCACCTGCTGCCCTAGCCTCACAGGCTCAGGGAGAAGGGAGACCCTGGGTCGACTGGCGGTCACAGGTTGCTCCCCCCTTAGGGGGGCGTCAGGCAGAAGACTTCCAGCCTCATGCTCAGGGGGCCGTGAAGCTGGGCGAGCCTGGGCCGGTCTGGGCGCTGAGAGGGCTCCCGGGAGGAGATGCGGGCGCCGCCCTGAGTCTCAGCAAGCCCATCTCCTTCCAATGCCCCCACCCCTCGCGACCCGCCCCCTGCCCCAGGAGCCTTGCTGTGGAGCGCTAACTGCGAGGTTCCCGCCGGTCCCGCTTCACTGGCACCCTGCGCCCCCATCTTGCTTCCCCATCTGCCCGGGGACTGGAGGGGAGGTCTGGGGGGAGACACGTCTACCGAACGGACAGCCGGGCAGAGGTCAAGCGAGGGCCGGGAGGCTGGACTGCGGGACAGGGGCGTCCGGGCGGCTCTGGGCCCCGGGTCCCCCCTCCCCGGCCTCCGCCTCCCACGCACCTGCGCTGGCCTCCCCCCAAGCCCCGGGGGCGGCGGGCGGGCGGCCCTGGGAGATCAGAGGACTCTGAGGAGCCTGCCGGGGGAGGGGGCGGGGAATTCCCCCCACGCCTGCCCGGGCCTGCCCCTCCCCCTCCCCGCCAGGTGGGGGGCACCGCTCGGGGAATTCCACGGCGCCGCGAGGGTCCCAGAGCAGGGAGCGGAGGGAGGGGCCGGGCTGGGACGGGGCGCAGCTGCCTTCCTCCCCAGACACCAGCTGCCCCTGCCCGTCCCGGGCCGGAGCGCCCACCACCCCACCCCGCCTGTCTGGGGGGCGGGAGCGGGGAGGCCACTACTTCGGTCAAGACCCAGGCGCCGGGACCCGGGAGAGACGCCGTGGGGATGGCCCTGACCGTGAATGGGACCTGTGCAGGAGCGCGCGCGCGCGTCCACGTGAGTGAGGGGCTGAAGGCGGGTGACTCCCCGACGCGTGGGGCGCCGGCGGCGGCGGGAGGGGGCGCGTGTCCCCGTTGGGATCCTTCTGGCAGCGTGACTTTCCCCCTCCGCACACCCACTAGAGCCCACAGGGACCTACCCCAGAAGGGGAGGGGGCGAGGAGGTGGCGCCGGGACGCCTGGGTTTCTCGGGGGCCGGCGGGCGAGGCGTCTGGACCTGCTCCTCCGCGCCAGTCCCGGGCGGGGCTTCCCTGCCTCCCTCAGGGGGAGGGAGGGACCCGGGGGAGGGACCCGCGAGGGACGCGGTGGGGCGGGCGCCAGAGCGTTGGAGACCTGGGCCAGGGGACGCCGAGCACCAGGCGCAACGGGAGGGGCCGGGTGTGGAGGCCGCGGTGAGACACCGAGCGCGGGGAGGAGAGACAGAACGCCCCAGCCAGAGACCCCGGAGGGGCCCGCGGGTAGGGACGGGGCAGAGAGACGCCTCCTGGGACACAGACCCGGGAGCAACTTCCCCTCCCCAGACGGAGAGCGCCCCCCGAGGCGGGACGAGGACAGACTGACAGAGGACAACGCCCCTCAGGGCGCCTGGGAGACCCCGGAGCGCCCCCCGGGGCGTCCCCGGCCGTGTCCTGGGTTGGGACGATGGGGACACGGGTTCTGCAGGGCCTTCTCGTTCTCTTCTTCCTCCCGCTGCCGCCGCTACGCAGGGCTTCCGCTGGGAGCCTGCACAGCCCAGGTGAGTGGGGGCGGCCGGGCCGGTGACCTGACCCTCCGTCTCGCGCCGGTCCCCGGAGCTGGGAGAGGGCGACAGGTGGCCGGAGCAGCTGGGCAGCCCGAGGGGCCCGGAGGGGGCGGCACCGGGGCGGGCTGGGGGCCAGGCGGGATTTGCAGGGGTGGATGCCAGGCGACGGTCCGGACCCTCCCAGCCCCGCCGTCGCCCTGCAGGCCTGTCCGAGTGCTTCCAGGTGAACGGCGCCGACTACCGCGGCCACCAGAACCGCACAGGTCCGCGCGGGGCCGGCCGCCCGTGCCTCTTCTGGGACCAGACGCAGCAGCACAGCTACAGCAGCGCCAGCGACCCCCAGGGCCGCTGGGGGCTGGGCGCGCACAACTTCTGCAGGTCTGGGGCGGGGCCGGGGCGGGGCCGCCCTGCGGGCGGGGCGGAGGCTGCCATGGGCGTGGACAGGGGCGGCCACAAGGATCTGGGGCGGGACCGAAGTGAGAGGCGGGACTGACTACCCTGGCGAGGGGCTGGGGGTAGGGCGGAGAGGGCCTTAGGCGCCCACATGCAGGGCCGCAAGTCAGGGTCGGGGAGAAGGACCAGACGTCTGCGCTCCAGGGGCCCGTACGGGCGGGCCTGGTCGGAGAGAAAGAGTGAGGGGCCGGGCACAGCAGTGCCATTTCTCTGACTGCTGGGGCAGGGTAGCGTACGTCTAGCGGTGAGGGGCGCTGGGGGTTAGAATCACACCTGTGTCTGGAACAGCCTGGACGGGAGGACACTTCTCTGCTGAGCCATGAAGCTTAGGACACATCACTTCTGCCTTCAGGCGGAGTTCCGAGGCGCGGGTCCCCAAAGTCCCCATATGTGATATATCCTAGTAACAGCGGAAACCTAAAAAGAGCCCTCGGGTCCCCTTAGGGACTGACTTCCGGCAGTCTGCTAGGAAGTCCACGCCAGAAGCACGTGGGGAAACTAGGATTTGTGTGACACGGAGAGAAGCCTGCAGCTAACCTCTGACACGCACGGGCCTCGATGGCCCCTTTGCGCACTGGCTGTGGGGCGGCCCTGGGCTCTTGGGCGGTGGGATCCAGACCACTTGCCCCCTCCATCCTCAGGAACCCAGACGGGGACGTGCAGCCCTGGTGCTACGTGGCCGAGACGGAGGAGGGCATCTACTGGCGCTACTGCGACATCCCCACGTGTCACAGTGAGTGGGCCCAGCAGGACAGGAATGGAGGAGCCGGGGTGCTCGGGTGGTGGGCCGCTTTCGAAGGCGCCAGAGCTTGACACCGCGCCTCCTCAGTGCCTGGGTACCTGGGCTGCTTCGTGGACTCGGGAGCGCCCCCGGCTCTAAGCGGCCCCAGCGGCACCTCCACGAAACTCACGGTCCAAGTGTGCCTTCGGTTCTGCCGCATGAAGGGCTACCAGGTACTGCCTCCCCAGGCTAGTGGCCCCTGACCCTTGACCTTAGGCCCCCACTCCAACTGTGACGCCAAACCTGGACACTGATTTCTGGATCCCCAGCCCAATTCCCCCTTCCGATTCCGACCTTACCACCCCACCCCTACCCTGAGCCCTTGCCTCTGGGGTCACCCAGTCTGTGCTCCCAGCTGGCCGGGGTGGAGGCTGGCTACGCCTGCTTCTGTGGCTCTGAAAGCGACCTGGCCCGGGGACGCCCGGCCCCAGCCACAGACTGCGACCAGATCTGCTTTGGCCACCCGGGCCAGCTGTGTGGCGGCGACGGGCGCCTGGGCATCTACGAAGGTGAGGAATGGGCGGAGACTTAGGGGTCTAGGTGAGAGGGGGGCTCTGCGTGAGACCCTGATAGGGAGTAGAATCCGAAAACGTGAGGTCGGAGACTGAGGGCTGGACCTGAGGGCAGGACTGGGCTGAACCTAGAGACTGAGGGCGGGGCTTGAGGAGTGACTGGGCGGGGCCTGGCTTGGGGGCGGGGCTGGGGGTTGAGGATGATGCTTTAAGAGGCGACTGGACCGGTCTAGAGGCGGGGCCGGGGGCGGGGCCTCTTCGAGAGGGGAGGGGCTTCGCGATGGGGCCCCGCCCCTGACGGCTGTCCCCGCGGGTCCGCAGTGTCTGTGGGCTCCTGCCAGGGGAACTGGACGGCGCCTCAGGGCGTCCTCTACTCCCCGGACTTCCCGGACGAGTACGGGCCGGACCGGAACTGCAGCTGGGCGCTGGGCCCGCCAGGTGCCGCGCTGGAGCTCACCTTCCGTCTCTTCGAGCTGGCGGACCCGCGCGACCGGCTGGAGCTGCGCGACGCCGCCTCGGGCCGCCTGCTGCGCGCCTTCGACGGCAACCGCCCGCC